CAGCTAGACAAGGGCTCACTTGGCTCTGACACAGGGCAGGCACAAGGCTGTCCTCGCAAACATGTGACAGGGCATCCCCCATCCCCACCAGGAGGAGGCAAATCTGCAGGGGATCCAGGTGACAGTGGAGGGTCACCGAGCCTATCCCTGGAGGCCCAGGTCTAGGACTGGGGTGTTGTTATCCCCGGGACAGGTGCCGAAACTGAGGCTTATAGGTTTAGCAAGCTGCCCACTCACACAGCAGGTGCAAGGTCAGGCTTCACCCAAGTCTCCTTATTATTCCTAAGCATACCCAGCACCGAGTTATTCCGGCTGGGAGGAGGATTGGCGTGTAGGAGACAGTCCCTGCTTCCCTCCCTCAACCCACAGGCTGGTAGTAGTCTCCCACTTTGCAGAGGAGAAAACAGAGGCCCACAAAGGTTCTGGAACTTACCGAAGGTCCCAGGCTTCCAATTCTCTGTGCTCATATCATCGACAAGCATGGGGTGGAAAATCCCCACGGGTGGAAAACACAGATTATGAGCAGCAAAGGATTTCCTTGCTAATCGTGCTGCTCTGGGGACAAGGTTATAAACCAAGTTGTGCCCTGGGAGCTCAGAGGCCAGGCCATGGTGAGGGGTTGGGTGGGGTCACCACGGCAGAGGGAAGCCAGCCTGGGGCAGGAGTGAGGGAATGAAAATACAAGAAGGAAGGACTCCCTGCCCTGAGCCCATGTTCCCCATTTTATGGATGAGCCATGCTGGCTCGTGCAGGAGCGCAGGAGCGCAAGAATGAAGCACAGGTCTGGCTTCCCCAGAAGAAATGCCATCCCTTTGCTACACAGGTCCAGCCTCTGGAGCTCCCCCAAGCCCCAACTGTCCCCATGTCCATCTGCAGGTCACCGGGGCCCTGCCAAGGACCAAGCTCTGGGAGGCCTTCCATTGCTGGTGGGGCCTCCCGTGGGAGGCTCTCTGAGCCCGACAGAGCCAGACTATCGGGGCCCAGAGGGGCAGCAGGCAGAGTGGCAGGCCCAGACTCTGACACAGGAGACCCAACACTGAGCCCAGGTCCCCACGGGACCCAGAGCAAGTCACTGCTCTCTCCAAGCCTCAGTTTCCCCATCTACGATATGGGACCATTTGGGAGCTCTGACCATAATGGAGTGGGGACTGGGAGGCTCTGTGTGGTCAACTGTGACATGCTGGGGATTGCCCTGGTCCTTCCCAGGCTTACCTGCCAGTGAGTCCCTCTGGCCTGTCTTCCTTCGGTGCAAGGCCCTGGGGGCCCAACACCCCAGGCCCCAGATGGAAGGTCAGGGTCAGGTTGGGGAGGGAGGGGGAAAGGCTTATCTAAACCACCCCATTGTCTTCACTGACCTTTGCTCCCAGGCCTGGCTGGGTTTAGGAAAAGCCGCCTTATTAGTGATCCTGCCGAGGAGGCGCTGAGCTGGGAGGCCCCTAATAAAAGACCTATTCAGGGCCAGCATGCCGACTCACGCCGTCTTTTTTTAAAGGTCCAGACCACCCTCGCTCCACATCCATCCTTTAAACCAACAAAAACACAAGCAGGAGAACAAAACCATCTTATTTTGAGAAGCTCAAATTTTTAATCCAAACTTTTAAAAAGTAAACAGGGCCCGTACAAAGGCTTGCTGGAGGTCCTGGTTTCTCTGGGTTAGCTAAGAGGGAACGGGCCACAGTGATGGGGGAGGACAGGATGCAAACACAGGGACTTGGGGGGAGGGGGAGTGAAAGATGGGGGAGGGGAAGGAGAGACCTTGTTGAAAATGCTTTTGTTTGAAAACTGTCAGTTCAAGGGGGCAAACCTGACTTTCTAGAGTTTGGGGTTCGCCTGCCCGCTGCAGTACAGCAAAGAGCATTCTAGCCCGGACTTCGGTCAGCACAACCCAGAGCTCGGTCAAAAACAACCCGGAGGGAAAAAGGTCATTTGCATATGCATTCTCGGCGGCCAGGCCCAGCCCAGCCCAGGACAGCCTGGAATACAGATGGGCCACCTCCCACCACAGCCGCGGGGGCCTTCCCCGGGCACCCCGCGGGGCTGCAGGCCCACCCCAGCCGCTTACAAGAGGACCACAGGGCCACAGGCCCCCAGCTCGTCAGCAGGTGCTGTGGTCGCAAACATTGAGGCAAGCTGTCTAAACAGCAGAGTTTTGAAGACAACACCAAAGTCTGTCTGGCAAGCCCCCAAAAGGGGTCCCTCTTGCTTTTTCACGAGGAGCCTGGGAAGAAACAAGCATGACAAGGATTCTGACAACTATTGGGACTTACTGTGCGCAGACCCTGACCGCCCTCAGCCTCAGACGCTGAAGGGGGCATTCTGGGTTTTGCCCCACTTTGCAGAAGAGCAGAGGGAGGCGCAGAGAAGTAACTTGCCCCCGGAGAAAAGGAGGAGGCAGATTCCACCGCAAGACGGTGTGACCCCTCCGGGTGACAGGGTTATCAACCATCTGCTCAGTGGTCACCGATAAGGAAGTGACATTTCCCAGAATGGGCGAACGAGAGCAAACCTGGGTCAGGAATCAAGAATAGGGAGTCACCGGTGCTGTCTGCTGACTAAGAGTACTGAACAGTGACAGAGGCCAGAGATGCAAGCCAGCCGTCAGGAACGCCCCAACTCCCGGCAGTCCCACCCTGGGGAACCCCCCACCCCCAACCCCACAGCCTCACCTCGGCAGCCCCACCCAGGCAACGGAGCGGAGACACTGCCAGTCTCCACGGCTTTCCCAGGCAAGGCTCAGAACCTCCCTCAGCCTCCACTTGCTTATCTGAAAATAGGGATACTACTACCTCCAGGCTTCCTGGGAGGACGAACCGAGACCAACTACAGAGGGCAGAAGCCCAGCATCTGACCCCACTTTCTCCCCCACCCCACCACTGGGACTGAGGTGCATTATCTTTCCTACCACCAGCGCCCTCCTCCCTCCACTCAAAACTACCCAAAAGTCATTTTTAAGAGAAGGGCCTTGCCCTGTTTCTGGCCATCCTATTCACATTGCTGGGAGAATAGTTCAAGGCTGTGCATGACTTTAAGGGCCAAGGCTAAACCCCAAGCCCCCTGTAACTGAAATTGGTGATAGCAGTGCTCATTTGTATTTCACCCAACACAGAGCTTGGCCACCACCAGACCGGTGGCAGGCCTGTTCCAAGTGAGCATGGGACTTGGGGGGCTGGGGGGTGGGCACGGACTCTGCGGGGAAACTGTACACCTCAAGTCCCAGCCACCCCCTGGTCCCCTGCCCTGACATCATCCACTGCTGCGGCTGATACACTGAGCCAGACAGAGGCCGTGTCTCCTTGTCCAAAGCATGACGGAACTCCCCTGCAAATATGCTGCGACGCTGGGCACTCCAGTCCTGTGCCGACAACCGCTCTCGGCAAGTGTCACTGATGACGCAGCCGAAAACCAGCAACATTTCCCAGCCACAGGACTGCAGCAATCCTTCCTTGCACTTGGGAGAAACTGAGGCCCAGAAGTCGGGCCCCTCCCGAGGCCCCCAAGAAGGCAAGGCCAGAGAGGCTGGGACTGGGACTCCTGACTCCCCAGCCCCGGAAAACCCCACAAATGAAATCCCCTAACTCTGAGCTGCTCCCCCTGGCCTCCAGCCGCCTGTGGTGAGAGGTGGGGGGTGAATACAGAGTTACAATGGGAAACCCGAGTGGTAGTGGTAGATTACTAATCAGTAACAAAATATCCCTCTCAACCCAGTCCTGCTCTGAACTCAGAGGCTGGGAAGGTAAATAAAGGAAAAATTGTGATGGGCGAGGACACCACCTGCATGGGTCCTGTTCCCACCCCAACACCCCGCAGAGGCCACTCGGCCACCAAACCAGAGAGAGTGCGCGTCCCTCCTCTGCTCAGGCGTCACTCTGGGGAAGAACAGTCATTTAAAGCCTAGACACATTTTCCCTGAACCAGGAAAGCCTTTAAAGAGAACCAGAAAGGGCTGTTTAATCTCCACCTTCAGGCAAATAGTTCAGGCAGCAGCAACTACCACCAGAACTGGGAGCCAAGCCACCAAAAATGTGGAAGAACAGGGAGGCAGGGAGAGGCACAAGTGGCCGAGAGAGCCACGGACCAGGGCGCTGGGAATGGCGGACCCAAGCTGGGGGCCCATAGGTCACATGGGCGTGGAAGACAGTAGCCGAGCTTTCCTGAGGCCAAAGGTCCTCCACCCACACCCAGGCCACCTACCACCAGCGCACTTCCTGTAAGGCGACCAGCAGTTTACAAATCCCTTGGGAGACTTTATCTCTGCCCCAAATCCACAAGGCAGGGGGATCATAAACTCCATTCTACAGATTAAAGAAACTGAGGCAGGCAGAGGCGAAAAGCCAGGATCCATTCCAAGCACATATCCCTCTGGAAAGTCTTAGAGCCTCGGCTGAGAAAGGTCCATCCACCCTGAGAAGTTCAGGACTGACAGCAAACCAGAAAGGCTCTTCGCCCGGGGTCCTCTGGCCCAGGGGCCTGGGAGTCTCAAGGGCTACCTGCGCTCCTTCTGAGCCCGCAGGCAGCCCCGAGAAGCCCAGGTGGAATTCCAGCCCCAGCCCCCCACACACGTGGACGCTGCTCAGGTTTGGGGTTGCCTGTTGCTCCAAATAAGGGGAAATTCACCTGTACTCAAAGGGCCTTTCTTTTCCCCCTTCCACGCACCCCGCCCCAAGAACTTCTCTCTCCTGGACCAGGCATTTCCAGGTTGGGATGAGGCGTCCCCAGCCGGCCTTGCAGTGCCCTACACGAATACTGATAATTCCGCAGGAGAGAAACTTTTTTGGGGTCCAGTGGGTCCCCGGCCCGGCTGCGGATTCGGAGCTGGGCAGGATCACGCCTCCATCACTTGACCAGAAACACATAACCCAAACGCCACTGCGGGTAGGTACGGGATCCCCCAGCCCTGAGTGTGGATACCAGCTGGAGGAGGGGTCTGGTGTGGCGGCCGCCCCCGGGGGGAAGAGACCGTGGGCCTGAGACCCGCGCTGCCCGACCGGTGCCGTCCTTACCGTGCAGGCCGTTGGGGATGCTTCGGTGGTGCGGTGGCGCGGACAAGTCGTCCAGGGACCGGCGCGTGGCTACTCCCTTGCCGTCGGGGGCCTTGTGCGGCCCGGGGGGCAGCAGGGGGGGCGGGACGTGGTGGTGGTGGTCCGGGCTGCCTCCGCTACCCGCGCTCGACGTGCTGCTGCCGTCGCCCACGTCGCGGGCCCCAGCGCCCGCCGCGCCGCCGGCCAGCGGCCCGCTCAGGCTAGCCTGGCTGTCGATGGAGCTGCGGGAGCCCGCGCCGCCGCCGCCGCCGCCGCTGCCGCCGCCCGCGCCGCCCCCACCCCCCGCCAGCGCCGCGCGCTCCTCGTCCAGCATCAGCACCAGCTCCTTGAGCTCCAGGTTCTCGCGCAGCAGGGCCTCCTGGCGCGCCTCGAGCTCGCGCAATTTCTGCTGCGAGCGGGCCACCTCGTGCCACACGGCGCCGGCCGCGTGGCGCCCGAAGCGCTGCCACTCGCGCGCCAGCTTGCGCCCCTTCTGCCGGTCGTCGTCGAGGAAGCAGCAGAGCTCGCGTAGCTCCTGGTTGTCGTCCTGCAGCCGCTGGTTCACGTCCTTGAGGCCGCGGATCTCCAGCAGGTGCTGCTGCAGCCGCCGGTTCACGTCGCGCATCAGGCCGCCGTGCTCCAGCATGAGGCCCACCTTCTCGCCCTCTGCGCGCCGCAGCCGCCGCGCCAGCTCCTCCTTGCTCCAGCGCAGCAGCTCCTCGTCCGGCACCTGGCTCAGCTCCTCCGACGCCGCCGCCGCCGCCGCCGGGGGCTTCGCCATGGCGGGGCCGTCACCGCGGCATCGCCCGCGCCCTCGCCCGGCCGGCGCTTCCCGCGCCGGGGCGGCGCTGGGCCGGTCCGCTCACGGGCAGGGGGCGGCCGGGGGCGCGTGCGGGCCGCCCCGCGCCGCCTCGCGCGCCCTCACGCAGCGTCCGCCCGGGGCTGCCGGTGAACCGCGGGTCTCGGGGCTCGGCGAGCTGGGACCGCTGCTGCGTCGGCGTCCGCCGTGCCGGGCGCTCTCCGGGTTCGGGCGAAGCAGGCGGAGGCCCGCCCCCGGCCCAGCTCCCGGAGCCCCGGCCGCCCCGCCCACTCCGGGCGGGGAGGGGGCGGGGCGCCTCGGCCGGCTCCGCCTTCGGGGGGAGCGAGGGGACGGGCAGAGGCGCGGCCGGCCTTCGACGTCCCCCCGCGCCGTGCGCCCGCCCGCCCGGCGCCCTGCCAGAGGCGCATTTGAGCCGCGGTCCCGCCCTCCCGCCCATCCGATTGGGCCTCTCTGGGGGTGTGTGGGAGGGGCGGGGCGCACGCGGGGGACGCCGAGGAGATGGTACAGTCCAGCCACCCGGCTTCCAACCCCCCTCCCGGCGGTTCAAGTTTCTGCGCCCGGAGGACGCGGCCTTGGCCAATCCCTGGGCTACAGGGCGCTTTTAAAATGCAGGTACGGCTGCGGGGAGGGGGACGGTGGGAAAGGTAGGGCAGGGCTTTCCTTAAAGGAGACGCGCGGAAATGGACGCCGAGCCCCCTCCCAGGCCTGCGTCCCCCGCTCCTCCTCCCCCGCCCCAAATAAACAAATACCCGCGAGCGGGAGGACAGCTCTGCTTCTCCCTCCCGGGGGCACCAGAGTCCGGCGTAGTCTGAGATAAGACGAACAATGGGACTCTGACTCGGGGGTCGCTCTCCCCGGAGGCAGGGCGGCTCTTTGTCCCCTTCCTTGCCCCCGACTCCTCCGCCCCATCTCCACTCCCGTCCCCTGCGGGAGCTTGCGGAGGGGCGGCGTTTCCAACTCCAGCCCAGGGCTGTGGCTCCTGTATCTGCGCCCCGGAGGACCAGGGCCTCGCCAGCCGTGTCTCTGAGCACGGTCTGTACCCTCTCCCCTGCCCCAAGGCGGGGCGAGGGCACCGGGAACTTGCGCCCCGCCCGGAGCCGCGCTCAGAGCACTGCTCCCCCGCCCACCCGACCGCTAGTCCCTGGGCTTCGAGGGAGAGTCAGGGGTTCCTGAGGTGGAGACCACTGGAGGGGATGGAGGAAGGTCTCCCACGGGGGCCTAAACGCCAGGGTCGGGGGTCGCTGAGCCGGCCACAGAACCCCCGCCCCATCGGCAGCCTCGTCGGGCACCCGGGGTGTTGTTCCCCCAGCCTGTGAGTCCGTCTCATTATCCTCGCGTCCCCAAAGCGTGCTCACGGCGCGCCTGCAGCTAGCTGGTCCGAGGGGGGCGTCCCTCCCCCGAGACCCGCAATAAGATAAAACCCGCGCGCCCGACTGTGAGCCGCCACGGCCTGGAGCGCGCGCCCGCGCAGTAGCTGATGTCCCCATTTCCAGTTGCTCAACCATTCGTTGGACAGCTGCGCACCCAGCGTCTTCTCTAGCTAGCTAGTCCTGTTCCAGACCCCCGGGGGATTTCGCGGGGCAGGACAGCAGAGGTCACTGCCCCCTGGGGCGACGTTGCAGTTGTGGGGAGGAGGAGAGAGCGGATGATAAACACTCGATAACCACGAGGCTGTAATAAGTGCTGTGCAGGGGATTAAGACAGGCTGCTGTCACAGAAAGTGATAAGCAGTTACTTTAGATCCCGTGGTCAAGGAGGACCTCTCAGGAGGTGCATCTAAGCTGAGACCTGAGCAGAAAGGACAAAGATGAGGGGGGAAGGGCACTCCAGGTGGAGGGACTAGCTAGTGCAGATGCCCTAGGGTTGGCCTGTTAGCGTCCTATTCAAAGAAGGCCTGTGGGGCTGGGCATGGGCCAGGGAAGGGGTGAGAGATGAGGTCAGAGGGGCCGGATCCTGCACGATTCTAAGGCAGCTGGGAAAGCAGTAGGGGGTTAACACCAAGCAACCTGACCTGATTTGCCTTTTAAGAGGCTCACTCTAGCCGGCCTGCGAAGGGATGGGGGAGGTGCATAGAGAGGTCCAGATTCAGCCCCTCATTCCGCAGCCATTTGCCCCTCTCCCCAGGTAGACGTTCAGGAGGTGGTGGTAGGGAGAGGATGAGTGGAGGAGCAGAGCTTTGAGGGTGAAGTCCCAGAGGAGCTCAGGGTCCCCAGGACTTGGCCCAGGTGAGCCACTGTTCTCCATGGGCCCCGCCCAGCCCAGATGAATCCGGGTTTGGAGAGGGTTTCAGCTCACACCTGGGAAGCCGCAAGCCTGTCTTACCCCAGGAAGCCAGATCAAACAGCTCCCTGAAGGCTGTGCACAGAGCTGCTTCTGGGAGAGGTGATAAGAGGATGGGTAGACTAGGGAAGTGGTGGAGATGGGTAACGCTGCATTCGTGGGAACTCCCTTCCCATTTGTGCGTGGCCCCAGATGGTTCCTGTGCCTGCATCTCAGTCCTGTATCTCTCCAGGACCGGCAGCTTCAGCAGAACTTTTCAAGAGAAAAATGAAGCCTGCATCTACATAGGGTTTGTTTGCAGCATCTACAGACTGTAGGACCAAGAGTTCCCCAGCCAGGACCCACGTAAGCGTCCCTAACATTCCCCCCCCCCCCCGGTGCAGCAAAGACAGACCACTAGAGATGATTCTACCAGGTGACCTGATGGAGACTCTCTGCTCGCCGCACCGCAACGTGGCTGCACAGGCTTGTGCACAGTGAAATAGGACGGCAGGAGGTTGAAAGGGTCCTGAAGCAAGAGGGACTGGCTAAGCCAAAGCTCCCTCCCTAAGGGCCGATGTCCCTCAGGGTCCAGCAAAAGGTGCCAAGATCCCTAGAACATTCTCAGTCCAACAGACCTTGTACCCCAAGCCATGAGCTCAGAAATGTCATGTGTCTTGGTTTCTAGCTTCCCAGTCATGACAAGCTCAGCTTTGTCATGAAAACAATAAAACCGAATCATGGCTCTTTAGCACAGTGACTCTCTAGATGTCCAGTAAAAGTAGTCAGGGGTCTTTTCAATTAATACAGATATACTCCCGACTCTCCAATTTTTTTTTTCCTTCAGAATCTCCCAGTTTGTGTCCATTTAAAAGCACACAAATGTTTTTAAGGGCCAGGTGGAGTGAGAGCCAGTATACGGACACATAATAGACAAACTATTTCAAAACACAGGGTCTGTGACCCTGGGAAGTGATAATAAGACTACACTGGTGGTAAGCAGCCTGTCTCCCCACTGAGAAGGGAGTACAGAGCCCAGAGCAGATACCATTTGATGTTTGCAGGGTGAATGCACGACCCTTCAGCACATGACCAGTTGAATCTGAGCCCCTCATTTTGAAGATGAGGCAGCTGAGCCCCGGGAGGGAAATGACTTGCCCAAGGTCACTTTCATTCATTGGTTTCCTGAACACACAAACATAATTAGATAAGTATATATACATAAAAGCATGTATATGCGTAATCATATGCACGAGCATATCTATAAAACGCATGTAGATGCATTGTGGTGAGTACCCCAAAGAGATGAGTAGAATATATCATCAAGGGAGCATCCTGAAGCTCTGGGCTGGGCTGCCTGGAGGACGTGATGTCTGAGTTGAATCTTTTTTGTTTTTAAGTAATCTCTACTCCCAACATGGGGCTCCAACTCACGACCCCAAGACCAAGAGTCGAATGCTGTACTGACTGAGCCAGCCGGGCGCCCCCTGAGTTGAATCTTGAAGAGTGAGTAGGAGTTTGTCAGATTCTGGAGGGGGGAGGAGGGCTTTGGGATAGTCCAAATGGAGGGAACCACACAAGCCAAGACCCCAAAGGTAGGTGACAGTGATCTGGGTGGGGGGTGTCGGAGTGAGGTGAGGCAATAGAGTGGGGGTGCGGAGGGCTCTGTGAGCTGCAGGGACAAGCATGTGTGGCCTCTCTCTGGGGCCAGTAGTTAACGGCAATAAAACCACCACCACCACCTACCGCTTACCCAGCACCCAGTATGAGCCAGGGACTCCAGGCCAGCCCTCAGGTGATGATCATAACAACCCGATAAGACGGTCATTAGTCTTTCTAGGATCCTATGTTGGTTCTCTTGGCTTGCTTGTTTGTCTCCACAAAGCTCAGATGACCATGTGAACTTATGGGTGATGTTCAGAGGCGTGTGGACGTGAAAGGACTCTGGTACAGACAGCCAGGGGAAGGTTGCCCAATGGCTGAATGTGTCTGCAGGCCAGCACAGCGATGGTGGCTGACCGGGACTGGGGCCGGATTCTGGGGTTTCTTCTCTGCCCAGAGAGAAGAAGGGTCCCCCAGGGACCCTGGGGGACCCTGTAAGAGGGGAGTCACCATGTAGGGCTGAAAGGCCTCCATGCCTAAGAAATCAGGGCCCATGGAAAAGCGGCCATAATTGTTTTTTATTAAAAGATTATATATTTATTTGAGAGAGAGCATGGGGAGGGGAGGGGCAGCGGGAGAGGGAGAAGCAGACTTCTGGCAGATTGAGCCCCTTTGGTTCCTAGAGTGGAAGGTCCCATTAGGGACCAATTGGGAGATGTCTGCATCTGCATCTGCACCACTCCCTTCCCAGCTAGAGCCACTGAAATTCCCTCCTCCCCCTTCAGCTGCTGACATCCCCTCATACCATTGCCCTGAGGAGCAAGGTAGGAAGGAGGCTCAACCACAAGGGAAACTGAGTCAGGGAGCTCTTTGCAGGACTACCTCTTACCTTAACACACTTAAAAACATTATTCTTGGGGCACCTGGGTGGCGCAGTCAGTTAAGTGGCTGCCTTTGGCTCAGGACATAGTCCCGGAGTCCCAGGATTGCATCAGGCTCCTTACTCAGCAGGGAGCCTGCTTCTCCCTCTCCCTCTACACCCCTGCTCATGCTCTCTCTCTCTCTCTCAAATAAATAAATAAAATATTTTAAAAAACACA